CCAAGCCAAGCAGCAGCCTGCGTCCCTACGACCCCAGTCCCCAGGGGCTTGCCTTGGCACTGTCACAGGAGGACCTGCAGAGAGTTAAGACAGAGAGCTGAAAAAAGGAGCAAGCAGGAGAGCTAGAGGGCCTGGGGCACAGGACAGGGATGGGATTCTTCCACTTAATGTGTGTGAGGCGGTCGCTCGGGGAGGGGAGTCGGGGAGTAAGGAGAAGGTGCAGTCAAGGGCTGGATCTCGAGGAAACACTAAAGTCCTGGGAACCAAGTCTGGGGAGCCTGGGGAGAACACAGCGCAAGGGATTGCCTGCATGCCCACCAGATGCCCTCTTCCTGGACATCTGGATCACATGCCTCTCAAAAAGCCAGCATGGCATTATCAAAGGCCCCCGTGTCATTATCACCATTTATAATCACTGCCGCTTACAGAGCACTTCTGGGGTATAAGCACTCTGAGAGCTGGGTGCCACCTGGTGCTTACAAGGACGCCATTAGACCCGCAGTGCTATGATCCCTGCTCTAGAGAGGCAGACGCTGAGACTCAGGGAAGACGAGGCACTTGCCTTTCATAACAAAACACGCACTGAGCACCTTCTCTGTGCTAATGCCTCACGGGCGTTATTTCACACAGTCCCCGAAGATGCCCCCTCCCCCGCCCCGAGCCACACCTCCTGGGATTCCTGCTTTGTGCAGCCCTTCATCCTTGCCTCTGGCCCCGATCCCTTGCTCTTGACCATCAGAACACAGCAGAAGTGACACTGAGTGATTTCTGAGGCAGGCTCAGAAAATACACTTGCAGCTTCCATTTGAATCTCTGGGAATGTTTGTTCTTGGGACACTCTCCAGGGACCCTGCCACTGTGCCTGAGAAGCCAGTCCCGCTGACAGCCTGAGCTAAGCTCCCAGCGCCAGCCAGCAAAGTGAGGACTGAACCCAGGCTGGCGGATGCCCAGCCACAGAAACTTCACCTTCCTGGGCAGACGTGGCTCTCGAAAGCTGGTCCCCAAGATCAGTTGAGCTCCTCAGAAGTGCTGGACTACAAGCCCAGGGGTTATGCCACCCCAGCTGGGCCAGGAGACAGAGGCTGGCGCTGTCTCACCATGGAGCTGGCCTCCTCCCTGGTGGGGGGTAGGGGCAGAATTTTGACAAATGGCCTCACACATATTAAACAAGCGAGATGACACTGCACGGCCCTGGCAAGGCCCCAGATGCGAGGGATGAAAAATGGGGCTGATCCATCTTGCGGGCCTCGGTGACAAGGAGAAATGGATCAGCCCTAATAGGGGCCGCAGGCTGGGGCCCGGCCTTAAATAAGTTAAATGGGAATTGGGTGCCCCCAAGGAGGCCAGTCCAGGGGGAGCTGAGGAAGAGGGCAGGAGGTCTGGCTTCCAGAGGAAGAAGGGTTCCTGTGGGCTGGAACAGCAGGCTGGGCTCCCCGCCAGGTTGGAGGGCCAGCGGATGCTGGAAAGAGAGGCCCGTGGGGGGAGGAGATTCTGAATCCTGGGCAAGTGACCCAACCTTTCTGAGTCTCAGCATCTACATATACAACAGGGGGTTATTGTGAGTGTTAAATTTCATGTCAGTATCAGTAACATTAGGAAAACTAACCTTTCCAGAGTACTTACCTGTGTCATGTGCTAAACACACATGATCTCTCTATTACCCCATCCCCAGAGCAAGCATCTTTTAATTTCAGGGCTGCAGTCACCATCCACAATGATTTTGGAGCCCAAGAAAATAAAATCTGCCACTGTTTCCATTTTTTCCCCCCATCTATTTGCCATGAAGTGATGAAACCGGATGCCATGATCTTAGTTTTTTGAATGTTGAGTTTTAAGTCAGCTTTTTCACTCTCCTCTTTCACCTTCCTCAAGGAGCTCTTTAGTTCCTCTTCACCTTCTACCATTAGGGTGGTATCATCTGCGTATCTGAGGTTGTTGATATTCCACATGGCGCTAGTGGTAAAGAATCCGCTTGCCAATGCAGGAGATGCAAGAGTCGCAGGTTCAATCCCTGGGTTGGGAAGATTCCCCTGGAGAAGGGAATGGCAACCCACGCCAGTATTCTTGCCTGAGAAATCTTATGGACAGAGAAACCTGGTGGGCTACGGTCCATGGGGTCACAGAGTTGGACACGACTGAGCTCACACACACACACACACACATACACACACACTGTCCAGAATATAGAGGTTGAGACCGTAGACTGCAGAGCCAGACTGTCTGGGTTCAAATCCCAGCTCTGCCACTCACAAGCTGGATTACCTTGGACAGGCTACTTAAGTTCCCTGTGCCTCAGTTTCCCCTCCATGAACCACCTGCCTCACACACTGTTGTGAGGTTCCCTACTGTTGATTCCCTACAACTGTTCTACTTAAAGGGATTGCAATCTGTGTTGGCCAGTCAAGATCCCTTTAAGGCAGCAGTCCCCAACCTTCTTGGCACCAGGGACTGGTTTTATGGAAGACAATTTTTCCACGGACCAGGAAGTAGGGGGATGGTTTGAGGATGATTCAAGTGTATTACATTTATTGTGCACTTTATTTCCAATATTATTACATCAGCCCCATCTCAGATCATCAGGCATTAGATCCCAGGACTTGGGGACTTCTGCTTTAAGGCACAGGCCTTTAGCTTTAAGAGGGCGGGGCCAAGCAGCGTGGGAAGGGGCAGAAATACAGCAGGAGTCCCCACTGCTCCTAATCATAGCTCTTTCTGCTCTATTCTGACCATCTCTACCAGAGATGCCCTCTCACTGCCGAGTCTTTGCACCTGCCATCCCCTTGTCCAGCAGCTACCTTATTCCCTCCTCCACCAGCTTGTCTGACCAGATTCTCCCCTGCGGACCCTCCCCAAGGGAAGCTGGGTCAGGGACCCCTTATTGTGCTTCCATGGCTGTCTGTGATTCCCCCCAACCACCCAAACATCATAGCATGGTTCAACGGATAGCGTGTCTACTTGTTGTACTCCTGTTACAACGCTGTCTCAGCCACTGCTGGACCCTCAGCAGCTAGGAGCCCCAGCACCAGCTGCCCCTGAATAAGTGCTCCCTCAGCTAATGTGTTAAATGCCTGAGTGGATGAATCATCCCTAAGCTCCAAAACCAGACCACGGATGCCCTGTGGAACAGACTATGGTCACTTGTCTTTCCAGGGCACAGTCCTCCTTTTGATAACAGCTCACTCCACTCATGCCCCACCCCCAGTTTCCCATTAGAGGATCTCTCCTCTGTCTCTCTGTCCAACAGTGTGGTGGGGGCAACCCCACCCGCTGCACCACGTGACTCAGGCCAGACCAATTAGAACAGTCCCCTCAGGGTGTAAATCATTGGCTGCAGTCTGGTCAGGTGACTTGTTAATCCAATGAAAGTTATATCCAGGATTTTGGCTGGCAATACTGGAAAGAGGCCATCTCTCTTCTGGTATTGCTACATTCGTAACATGTAAGCCTAGAACTAGTTTTCCCCAGGTGGGGCTAGAGGTAAAGAACCTGCCTGCCCCTGCAGGAGAGGTAAGAGATCCCTGGGTTGGGAAGATCCCCTGGAGGATGGCATGGCAACCCATTCCAGTATTTTTGCCTGGAGAATCCCATAGACAGAGAAGCCTGGCGAGCTACAGCCCATAGGGTCACAGAGTCAAACACGACTGAAGTCACTTAGCACAGCATGCAAGCCTAGAACTGGGCTTGGTGACCGAATTTGCTACCACCTGGGGAAAAGTTGCATATCAGTAAAGCTGACACAAAGAGAATGGGGTCAGAAGTGGGAAGAGAATGACTGGGTTCCTGATCAATCACTTGACCACCTGGATCCAGCTGTGCCTGAAGAAGACATCGTGGTAGCTCACTTAGCATCTGTTCCACCCACTCACCATTTAGGAGTGTTGGACTCATTCCTTGTTCCAGAAGAATGGCCCAGCTGAGACAATCAGCTCATGACATTCCCCCAGCCATGGTGATGAATCAGAAGAGAGAAAATGACCTAAGTTGAGCTCATCAGAGGGAGGGTTGAGGGGACATCAGTAAAGGTTAGGGAAAGAGCCCTTTTTCCTCCTGTATGTGAAGGAAAGAGCACCAGCCTCAAACGAGCTTTCTCAGCACCAGGAGCGAAGCCCACCCAGGGACAGAGTCAACACAGGGAGTGAGCAACGCTCAGGTGACCACAGAGGAAGAAAACTCAGCTCCGATGACATCAGCAACTCTGGATCAAACGTTCCCTGAAGTCCATGCCAAGCCGTGCTTTCCATTTACAGGAACCAATGTGTTCCCTTATTGACTGGACTGATGTGGATGGGTTTTCCTGTTACAATCCATTCCCCCCATACCCCACAACTACCAACCTGGACTTTTCAGTTCCATGAACTAATACACTCCTCTTGTTTACTTAGGCCTGGGATTCCATCACTCCCAAGCCAAACAATCCTGAGTCTGCCTTTATTTCTCACACCACGCTCTGAGGTGCTGGTCCCTGCTCCTTGCATCCAGCGCCCTTCACTAGGCTCTTGACAGCTTCTGTCTCTACTTCCAGAGCAGCCTCTAAGGCAGAGGCTGGCCAACTGCCTCCGTAAAGGGCCAGATAGTAAATATTTTAGACTCAGTGGGCCATTCAGCCTCTGTCATAACTGCTCAGTTCTGCTACTTTAGACTGCAAGCAGCTGTAGACAATATGTAAACGATGAGCCTGGCTATGTCCCAATAAAACTTTATTTATGGACACTGAAATCTGAATGTCCCAGAGTTTTCGCATGTCACAAAATATTCTTCTTCTCTTGATTCATGTTCAAGCATTTAAAAATGTAAAAATCATCCTTAGTTGCAGAAAAACAGGGCTGGATTTGGCCCAGAGACTAGAGTTTGCCAGCCTCAGTTCTAGGATCACAAAGCATCTTTGGACTCTGAGTTTCCCCCCCTTCCCCTCCCTGGGTCCCACCTTCCTCTGTTTCCCAACTGAATTAGCTACTAAAGTCCCAGCATGCCTCAGGGCTCTGGAGTCAAAAGCCACTTACCAGAAGGACCAGCCGTAGTCCCAGGAATGGGGTCTCCAGTCTTCAGGGCCGAGGCTCACGGTGACCTGGAACACTTGCGTGTACATCATGTGGGCTACCATTCCCAGGAGGCCTGTGAGGGGGTAGCAGGACAAGGTGTCAGGAAGCAAGGCGGGGCTTTGTCTACCCACCATAGGCCTGTTAGTGCTAGGGAGAGCGTGAACCCCCCACGCAAGGGCAGCCGGCAGGACCAGAGCACAGAAGATCAGAGGGCAGTGGTTTTCTAAGCCCACCAAGAAATTTGAGTTCAACCAGAGGGCAAAGGGCAGCACTGGAGAAATTTAAGCAAGAGAGACACGGAATCAGGTCTGCTTCTGGATGGGCAGTTTTTCTGTTAGGGACCAGATAAGTCAATATTTTAGGCTCTGTGGGTTAGGCCATGTGATCTCTGTTGCAACTATTCAACTCTACTGTATTAGCACAAAGGAGCCATAGACAGTACACAAAGGGATGAACATGACTTTGTGCCAATAAAACTTTATTTACAAAAGCAAGTGTTGGGCCAGGTTTAGCCCATGGGCCAGAGTTTGCTGATACCAGTGTTAGAAGGTCATTTGGGAGAAACTGCTTAGAGAATATTTATCAAACTGCAGGTCTTGATGCACTAGACAAGTGGATTGTAAAATCAACTTCATGGATTGCAACCAGTATTTTAAAAAACTATTGGAATGGAATAGAAATATCTGATAACATCAAATGTAGCAGGAGTAAATATTGCTTTGTGAAACTTTCAGTTCTATACACGTGTGTCTGTGTGTGTAGTGGTTGTAATTATGAAATGTTTTTTCTGTGGTTCATATCAAAAATTTCGGAACCCACTGGCTGGGAGAACTTTGACTCCAAAGGATCTGAGTAGGAATCTTTTGCTACCACGTGGCCCTGGGTGAGGTACCTCACTCCTCTGAGCCTCAAGTCTTTCAACCCTAACATGAAGATTATGACAGATTCAGTGAAAAATGACTGAAATGAAGCAAGGCAGCCTCCATGTCTGCTGTCTTGCAGGCATGCAATTGATACAGTTACTAGGATTATTATAACCCAGGGGACATTGTACTATGTGGACCATGGCATCTGGAGCCTTGGGGGTGCCACAGTGTGTGGCTAACTGTCACAGACCTAATTTTAAGATGGAGTGATACAGTACTGATGAGAAGGGAAGGGATAGATGACAAGAGGAAGGAAGGAAACCAATAATGCATGTTACCTACTGTGTGCCAGGCACTTGTCAGAATCCTTCATCTCCATTACAATCTTTCACAACAACCCTCTGAAGTAAGTAAGATGATGTGGGCCATGTACTGTTGTTCAGGTTGTCCACTGCACAATTCCATAGGACTCCATTCACATCAAAGTCTAGGTGCATGCCACAGTCAAAGCAAAACCACACCTCTAATACAGTAGTCCTGAATGTGATTATTCCCATTTCACAGGTGAGAAAACAGAAGCTCAGAGTGGTCAACTCTGTCCCAAGTCACAAAGAAAGTAAATGGCTTAGTTGTGACTGGGGCCCATCATCCAAACGCCCTTAAAGCCAGGGCTCTTCCCAAGCTGCCGAGAAGGTATCTCTCCTCTCCTTTTTGCCCCAGTCACCCTTTCCCCTCTGATACAAGAGAAGAGATGGAAATAAGAAGAGGAGTAGAGATAAGAAAAGACAGAAGTAAAGAGGAAGTAAGGCTCTGAGACCTGAAACCAGACTTAGGGGCAGGAGTGAGGGTGAAGATGGACATCCTGTGTTCCTATGGTGTAAAGGTAAAAAATTTTTTTTGCTGCCTGGCATGCAGGGTCTTAGTTCCCCGATCATGGATCAAACCTGTGTCCCCTGAAGTGGAAGCATGGAGTCTTAACCACTGGATTGCCAAGGAAGTCCCCTGAAGGTAAAGGTTTAACAACAGGTTCTCTGAAGACAGAGAGAAAAATAAAGAAGCTATGATTTGTAGTGTTAGCCAGTTTCCATGGTGTGAATAATCCCACTGTGGTCAGTTTCAAGCTATCAAGGTGATGTCACTGAAAGTGGAGCAGAGAAAAGATGTGCATGGTTGGGGCTTGGTGGCTGAGCCAGCAGGATCCAACATATCTGTCTCCTTCCAGTCACCTCACCCCAGGCCCCCTGGAGACAGAGGACTCACAGCTGGCTGCCCGTATCTCTGGGCTGAGGCCAGCCTCTCATGGACCTCTGGCCTCAGATAAGGGGTGCTCTCCAGGGCTGGTGAGGTGCAATTGAGCCAGGAAATCTAGGGAGGGGGTGGTCGTGACAGGTGCTGAGGCCCCCAAAGACTCCTAAGGGCTCAGCCTGCCCCCAGGATATCTCTGCCAGGCTTAGACCTCATACTTAGTCATGCCCCAGCAAAGGTAGGCTAGAAACCTCTCCGGTCCCCTCTGTCTTGGCTCTCTCTGTTGGAAGGAAACAAGAATTGAGTCATATGCATATTTTCTTTTTGTTTTTTTGTTTGTTTATTTATTTTTGGCTGTGCTGGGTCTTTGTTGCTGCATGCAGGCTCTCTCCAGTTGCAGCAAGCAGGGGCTACTCTTTAGTGGGGGTGTGTGGCTTCTCTTTGCCGTGGTTCCTCTTGTTGAGGAGCACAGGCGCTAGAGTATGCGGGCTTCAGTAGTTGCGGTGTATGGGCTCAGTTGTGGTAGGTCTGCAGGCTCTAGAGCATGGGCTCAGTAGTTGGGGTGCAGGGGCTCAGCTGCCCCGAGGCACGTGAGATCTCAGTTCAGGATGGAAACCTGAGCTCCCTGCACTGGCAGACAGTATGCCTAACCACCTCACCACCAGGGAAGTCCCTCTTATTTTTCTTTACTTGACACAATTCTTGGTGAACTTCCAAAAAGTACATAAGACATACCTTATTCTTTGGAACTGATGCATAAGATTCCTTGATAACGATATATCATGCTTTATTTATCCAATCAGTTGACACTATTTATTTCCAGCTTTTTTGCTCCCTAAGCAATGCTGCAAGGAACACGCTTCTACAAGTCTCTTTGTGCAGACAACCAAGTATTTCTCCAGCGTGAACAACAAGAGGAAGTGCCGGGTCATAAACACCTTGTACGTTTTAAATTTTGATCAATGTCAGTGAACTGCTCACTTGAGAAGCAGAATCTTGTGGAACTTCTGCCAACTGTGAGAGACCTCACCCAAATCCTCACCAATACTTCATATTATAAAACATTACAAATCGTATCCATGGCATGGTGAAAAATAACACCTCAACATTGTTTCAGTTTTTACATTTCCCTCATGACTAGTAAGCTTGGGCATTTTTCATGTGTTTATTAACCATTTGTATTTCTTATTCTATGATTGTATCCTTTGTCAATTTTCTTTTTTAAAAAAAATCTTTCTCTTTATCAATTGATGGAAGCTCTTTATGTCTTCTGGATACTAATCCTATTTGTTATAGCGACTCCAGTTTACTATTTGTCTTTTCTCATGTATAGCACATCTTTTTCTAATTAATAGGTTTTATTTTTTAGAGCAGTTTTAAGATTACAGAGAAAGGATCAGAAAATAGAGAGTTACAGAGTTCCCAAATCCCGCCTCTCTCTTCCCCCCCAGTTTCTCCTATGATTAACATCTTTCAGTAGTGTTTACGTTTGTTACAACTGATGAGACAGTAGTGATACATTGCTGTGCTTAGTTGCTAGGTCTGTCCAACTCTTTGTGACCCCATGGACTGCAGCCCACCAGGCTCCTCTGTCCATGGGGATTCTCCAGGCAAGCATACTGGAGTGGGTTGCCATGCCCTCCTCCAGGGGAACTTCCCAACTCAGGGATCGAACCAAGATCTCCTAAGTTGCTGGTGGATTCTTTCCTGACTGAACCACCAGGGAAGCCCAAGGATGCTGGAGTGGGTAGCCTATCCCTTCTCCAGGGGATCTTCCTGACCCAAGAACCGAACCAGGGTCTCCTGCATGGCAGGCATATTCTTTACCAGCTGAGCTACCAGGGGAGCCCCGGTGATACATTATTACTAACGAAATCCATCGTTTACATTAGGGTTCATTCTCTGTGTTGTACAGTCTGTGGATTTTGACAAAGGCAAAGTGACATGTATTCACCATTGTGTCCAACAGTTATGTCCCTAAAAATCCCCTATGCTCCATCTGGCCATCCCTCCCTCCTTGATCCCTGGCAACCAGTGATATTTTTACTGTCTCCGTAGCTTGGGTGCTTTCAGAATGCCACAGAGTTGGAATCACACAGTATATAGCCTTCTCTGATCGGCTTCTCTCACTTAACAATATGGATTTAAGGTTCCTCCATGTCTTTCCTGGCTTGATTACGCTTTTCCTTTTATTCCTGAATAATACTGCATTGTATGGATGTATCACAGGTTATTTACTCATTCACTTATTGAAGGACTTCTTAGTCACTTCCAAGTTTTGACAATTATGAATAAAGCTGTTTTTGTCATTTATTTTGATTATTTATTGTAGTCTAAGTTAGCAGTCTTTTGATGTTTATTTTTTGCTTCCTGTGTCTACTTTAAGAAAATCAACACTCTCCTGTATTTTTCTGACATACTTACAGATATTTATGTTGATTCATCTGGACTTTATCTTGGTAAGCAGTGTGAGATAAGGATATAACTTTATTTTTTTAATGAGTAGTTAATTGCTTTGAACCCTTATAGAACAAACTGTTATTTCCCCACTGATTTTATTTTATAATTTTATTTCTGAGTAGTTAAAAAAATTAATTAACTCTCATTGGAGTATAGTTGCTTTACAATGTCATGTTAGTTTCTCCTGTATAGCAAAGTGAGTCAACTCTGCACAGACATATATCCCCACTGACTTTAAATCATGATTTTGTACAACATTCCAAGTCACACATGACATGTCTACTCCTAACTCATCATTCTGTTCGGTGAATTTCTTTGTTCCTGTGTCAATGTCACACTGTTTTAGTCACTATAACTTCCGGTAGAGTCTCTTGGCTAGAAGGACAGGTCTCTGTTCCTTTTGGCCCATTGCTTACTCCCTCCAGAAGTGCTACCCAGAAACTTGCTTCCCAGATGGTGCTAATGGTAAAGAATCCCCCTGCCAAGGCAGGAGACATGGGTT